AGAGAGAGAGAGAGAGAGATACACACAGAGAAAATTGTTAAGACAGTTATACTGCTAGTTTCTCTTAGTTTATTGAAAAGAAAAGTGTGTACTAATTTTGTTTGATCAATTTTTCATCCCTATATCTTGTACTCTGAGTAACTATTTTGTGTTTTTTTTTTGTTTTTTTCATTTTAAAGAGTAAAAGAAGGATAACATAATAATAGGGGGGGCTTACCAAATTACAAACAAAGTGGTAGGAAATTATCAATGGGTATTGTTTTACATATTGTTATCTACAAGATAGTTTCTCAGGAAAACAAATAGATAAATAATAGTGAATTACAGACAAAAGAGGTAGGAGATTATCAATAGTTGTTGTACTATACTTTGGTATCTTCAAAGTGGCTTCTAAAGAAAATAAATAGAGCTATACATGAGTGACCTATTGAATAATCATTAACTTTTCTCAGTGGTTTTTGTAGGAAACACATAATGATAGACATGCATCCATTTATGAAATAGGATAGGAACAATACAAACATTACAGAGTTATGGATAGATTAGTAGGAAAATATGAATGGCTGCTGTAATACATGGAGGTATATTCAAAGTGGTTTCTCAGGAAGACAGAGATATACAAGAAGGATCTAACAAGTAGTTACAGCCTAGGGGTTGTCAAAAATGAAGTGAGCCATCTGGGGAGAAAGCCATTTTTGTAGCATTTTCTCTCCAGCCTCCCATTGCATTGGGACCCCACAACCAGCTAGTGTCCTCTCCTCAACTGTCAGCACAGGAAGCAGGAATCCTGCAGCAGACTTCTCCGGAGCTGCACTACAGCCTGTACTGTCAGGGGAAGAATGGCTTCCAGGGAGTCTCCGCAGGTATTGTGCAAGGTCCTCCTGATTTACAGCTTCTGAGTGGCTCTCACGACCCCAATCCACAGGACCTCTGACTCCTCAGGCTTAGTCTGCATTCTCATGTTCTCCAAGTCCTTGTTCAGCAGCTGCTCCTCCGCTGGCTCTGGACCTTTCTGGTTCTCAATGGCAGGAGCAAGAGTGACCCATTGTATGGCATGTATTCCCAGGGGTTTCTCCATGTTTGAATGATTCACACACGTCCATGGGTGGGCATTTGCAGCCAGTGCATGGTGGGCCAATTGTGTCACTGTTTCTCTGTGTCATGGTAGTTCTCAATTGAGCAGTGGCGGCCGACTTGAGGGCCAGCATGCAACAGCGCTCACCATCACATGGCTCCCCCTGTGCCGGGGGCCCTCCTTCCGGGCACCTACGAGTCAGGGCCTGAGTAACTATTTTGAAGATAACAATACCCAATATATTAACTATTGTTACTCTCCTATTATCTTGTTTTGAAATTTTGTTTTATTTTTTCCTTGTTAAAATTTTTTTAAAAGAAAATAATAAAATAATTTTTAAAATATTAACTTAATTCCCAATAGGACCCAAAACCTCTCACACACTTAGCACAGAGGATGTTTTAGATCCTTCTTTTTAATTGGCATACTTATCTATTATCTTTTAAACAGAAATTGGAGATCTTCCAGGGCTCACAGGTAGAAGTGGACTTGGGTGTTGCCTCAGGTGGTGATAAAGAGGAACTATTCTCCAGGCCTCCAGAAGCAGTCCATTGTTTCACCCTGGAATGATGAATCCAAGTGCCATGCCTGTTACCTTAACTGCAGTAGGGGTGGAAAGCAGCACCATATCAGAACCCTTCCACTGGGGTTTACTTGTCCCATGTGTCTAGATCCTTGACTAGTAGTAAAGCTCCAGGTCAGCATCTGATACCCATGGATTAATTAGTCCCTTGAGGAGTCTCCCAATGTCATGGGGAGACTTTACCATAAGTGCCCACCTCTGAGTAAATTTATGGGGTTTGGGGATCAAAATACCCATGGTAGCCAACACCCACAAAGAGCCTAGCCATCCCTTTGACACCAGATCTAATTCTTTGCTTAAGTAATCTATGGGCTGGTGGCTAGGCCCTGGGGATTGAGTGAGGACCCAAGTACAACCCCTTTTCTCTCTGTCAGAAAGAGGATATACTTGTATTGATTGGGGGACCCTAGTGCAATGGCCTCCTGCAAAGGCTGTTTCAATTCCTGAAATGCATGACCCATTTGATGAGATGAGTCTGAGGCCCTTGAGTCTCCTTGGGTAGTTGGTAGAGGGGCTGAGCCTTTTCAGTATATAAGGATCCAGATTCTACAAAAGCAGTGACTGCCCCCCCCACCCCAGAAAAGCTCTCAGCTGCTTAATAAGTTTAGGCTGAGGGAAGTTAACTATAGGTTGTATCCTCTCAGGGCTTGCAGCCCTCCTGCCATGTGAAATAAGAAAATCCAAATATGTAATTTGAGTCTAGCACATCTGGGCATTTTCATGGGACATTTTATAGCACTGGGAGCCTAGAAAGTGGAAGAACAACTGGGTTCCCTTATACATTGTATCTTTGGTCTCCCCACAATGCATTAGATCATCTACATATTGGAGGGGGATAACTCCTTCTCCCCTCCACTCCAGGAGACCTTGGGCTAAGCCCAAGCCAAGGCCTTATACAATGATACAAAAGGTCATTGTATCTTTTAATCATTATAAGAACAGAGAGGGGAGTCATTTCCCTCTAAGTAATTTGTTCCCATTCTGTATAATTAACGGGCTTGATCCTTGCTCCCATTAGTCCTTCTTTAATACAATAAAGGAAATGAAAACATGCTGCTCTCCCAGTGGAGCCCCATAGTCCCGTTGTGGCTTATTTATAGGAACCACCTTGGGTCCAATTCAGCTTTCTCCATCTTCTTTGAGTTCCTTGATGTGCTTCATAGCAAGCATTCCCAGTCTGGATGGCCAAGTCCCAAACTCTGTCCCTTTCTCCCTGTTTGAGGGTCTCACTGAGAAGGAAGGTCAAATCTTTCCATGTCAGTCTAAACAGGGAATCTAGTCTTTCAAGGGCTCTGATATAGCCATCAAGATTATCTGCAAATCTCTCTATGTCTTAGTTTTCCCCAACTCCAAATAAATAAAAGGAAACTGTTTTGGTTCACCCCTCAATTTGGAGTGGAGAGACAATATCCTTCCTGGATATTGTCCTATCCTTCCTGTTTTATTTCGTTTTTGGTCTTACATAATTGATGGAGACCACTACAAAGCAGCCCTGAGTAGGACTTAAGTTAACCACTGGGCTTTTCATGTTTACTTGTGAGTCTGTCTAAGGCCTAGGCCCCTTGTCTGGAGATGGGCAGTGGACTCATAGGAAGTGAGTCCAGCTTCCAAATATAGTGGGACCCGGTCTTGATCTTCCTTCTCCCAGGGTGTGTGCTTCCCCAGGGAGGAAGAAGGATCCAGGACCAAGAGTGAAGAGTCTAAAGGACACTCAGAAGCCCAACTGGGATGGTCCCAGAGAGTAAAGAAGAGCTGAAAGTGGGGCACCTCACTCTATTTTTTCTCTCACTTACAAAATAAATTTAACTGGAGGATTATTCTCAAACAGTGTAAACAACCTACAATCATAGAAATCAAATCAGTGGATACTTAGAACATGCACAGGGCACAGAATTATTGTAAATTAGCATAAAGAACTTTGAGAGTAATATAAATATTCTACATCTTTTCTAGGATCATGTTTGCCTAGTTGTATATATCTGTTAAAATTCAGTGAACTTATCATGGACTGATCGCGTCCACAACTCCCAAATGAAGGTACAGCAAAGGCTAAATAAAAGAGGCAAATGGAATTCTTTCAGGGCTCCAAGGAGGATCAAATCCCTCTCATAGGATCTGAGATTCTCTCAGGACTAAGACCAAGACCTTCTATGGGTAGCCCATATTTATTTAGTTATCAGAAGGAAGGGGAGTACTCAATAAGGATGGAACCACTCAAGGACTTCTCCAAGTAAAGTATTAAATTAATCCACCCAGGAGTGAGATGCCTGAGGCTACAATCTATCTAGTTGAGGTTGGATCCAGGTGTCCTTGGCTGTGACCTTGTCTTATCCTTTGAGGCTTTCCAGCCTCAACAACCATTACAGGACTCAGTAAGGACCAGCGACTCACAGAGGTTCACTTCCTATGAGTCCACCGCCCATCTCCAGTCAAGGAGCCTAGGCCTTAGACAGACTCACAAGTAAACCTGAAAATCCCATTGGTTAACTTAAGTCCTACTCAGGGCTGCTTCATAGTGGTCTCCATCAATTATGTAAGACCAAAAACGAAATAAAACAGAGTAAAGGGCTACTCAGTGAGCATAGTAGAGGCGTGAGGGAAAAAATGGAAATGTGGGACACTCAGGAGTTGGGGTGAGGAGACAGTTGTACCCTTATACTCCCCAGTGACACAGAGCAGCAAAGGGTGAGCTTCTACCTACCTCAGGGAGCATCTTGTTGGCACACCTGCTGTGAATCCCCCCATGCCCTCCTACCCATCATTAGTCAGTGGTTAATTATCTGTGGGCTATGGGGCCCCAGACTGAGCAGAACTGATGAGCTGTTTGTCCTCACGGGATTGGACTGCAGGGTTCCTCCCCCATCATCTCACTGTGCCTTGTTTCTACTTCCAGCACCACTAGCAGAGAAGTTAACCTGCTGGACTGAAGAACAGAGGTCCTCACCGAAGAGTGGCACACTCCATCAGGCAGAGTGACAGGGAAAGTGGTTAGCACAGTTGGCTTCACCTCCCAGCTCTGGTTCTCGCTAGCTATACTTTCCTGTGTGCTGTTTCTCCTCACATACCTCCGTTTCATTATCTGAAAGGGAATCTAATTATAGTACCTGTTTTGAAGGTGCTGTGAGGAGCAATAAGATTAACATGTCCATGGAATTAAGAGGTGGCGATCGTTTCTCTTGCCTCTGCTCTAATCAAGCTTGAAGATATGATATTACTCCATAGTTTGCTTATAGTGCTCACTGTGAAAAATCAAAGGGAGGCTCCCACAGCTCAGAAGCTACTTGTCACAGGTAAGTTTGGGCAGCAAGGCAATACGGACTTCTGTACAATAAGTTACCAGTTTATTCTTCTCCCACATCGATCAGTTTGCACACGTCCAGCTTGTTCTGTTTTAAATTGGGAGGGGTGCTAGGACACTATGGATGTATTTTATTTTTCTGTAAAATATATAGATATGTTTTGTACACTTTTATGTTTGGACAACTAATTTTTCAAAATAGAGCAAATCTTATCCTCAAGGGGGAAAAGTAATGTGAAGGAAGGAAAATAGAAGGAAAAAGAGAGTCTTGGCAAAAAAAGGAAATGCTAGGTAGTTTGTAACCCAAGATGGAGATCTGTGATGGGAGATGGCTGTGCCATCCATGAACTCCCAGGACAACTGCTGCCAACAAGAGCATTGACCTGCTTACCACCCCAGCCCTAAACAGTGTTCCTCAGATTGTCTGTGCTCAGGAAAACATCGGGTCCTTCCTCTTAATTGCCAGGGTGGCAACCATCCCACCCCACCTTGAGCTCTCCATCTACATTCCATCAGGTCTTGAACACCAAACACTTGTCATGTAAAAGAGTTTCTTAACTCATCCATTCAGATTTCTTCCTTTACTGAGCAAACTTCCTTCTCTTGTCCTCACATTATCTTCAGTTTATTTGCCTTCAATTCCGTGGGAGCTGACAGTTTGCAGGCATTCCCCAGTGTTCCCTGAATGCAGAAAGACACACTCCCACAGCTTCTCAACCTCTTCAAATGGAGCCTGGATCCGTCAGCATGTATTTTAAGGCTGGTTCTGCCCATGGCTAAAGAAAGGCCACTTTGGAGACGCAGGTCAGATGCATGTGATCTGGACTGGATCTTCACATGAAAGATTTTTTTATATTGCACATTACTAGAAAAATAAGAGTATGATCTACACAGTAAATATTTTATCAAAGTTGATATTTAGTAGTCGCTTTTTTATCGAAAGAATTCCATTCACTTAGAAATATGAAAAGTATTGTATATGCCACTCATTCTCCAGTAGCTCAGAATAAATATAGTTGTATATATAAAGCAAAAGTTGGAGTAACAAAAAGTGGTACATAAGGGAATTCTTTAAGCTATTCTTGCACGTTTTCTGTAGCTTTGCATTTTATATAAAGTGTTTTACATCTCAAATAGTGGATAGAATTAAGACAGTATTGAACAAATTTCAATCTCTACTTAAACATTTCAATATCAACAGTTTGTCATAAAAATATAAAGATTTTTTTTTATTTCTAGCACCCAGAACAAGACAATTGGCAACAGTGTCGATCTAATTTTGCCACATTGCATATAATGTTGCGATTAGTTTTCATTTGTAGGATTTGCTTAGCAAATCACGTTTTTAAAGGACAAAGGGGCAAAGTCTCTAGTATGAATGAGGTCACTTCACATCAGGAGCATCCTTCTCCTTGATACAAACACACTGTCACCCAATCCATAGTCCAGACACCACATTTATAAACAAGGGTAAAGTAGAAAAATCACAAGTAATTGTGCAAAATATATGCCTCAAAATAGTAAATAATCCTATAGGTAAATTTATTAGGGAAATTCCATGGAAGGATTTCTATGCCAATCCTTACTAGGTGGGCATAATGAGATATTCAGGACTACCATAGTATCCAGAAAAAAATACATGTTGATTAAATTATTGTTGAAGTAATGAGGAGTGGTTAATTAACTGGTATTTTCTACCAGCTGTTTCTGCCCTAAAACCAGAAGTCAAAGACACCAACCAGAGGTTCCATTCATCACCCACCACTGGTTCCAGGTTTCCTCACTGCCACTAGAGCTTTTGTCCAGGAGAAACAGGGAAAGAGAAGGACCTGCTGGGTAAGCAAAGGCAGAGAAGAAATGCCCACTTAACGTGACCTGACAAACACCTCGGGTGAAGCTTTACAAACACAGTGACACACACAGGTTTGACAGCCTCATCCCACCACCTGTGGATAGGCCATGACCAACCAAAGCTCCCCGGCGGGCTTCCTCCTTCTGGGCTTCTCTGAACATCCAGAGCTAGAAAAGACTCTCTTCGTGGTTGTCTTGACTTCTTACTTGCTGACCTTGGTGGGCAACACACTCATCATCCTGCTGTCCGTGCAGGACCCCAGGCTCCACTCTCCAATGTACTTTTTCCTCTCCAACCTCTCATTCTTAGACCTCTGCTTCACAACAAGCTGTGTCCCCCAGATGCTTGTCAACCTCTGGGGCACCGAGAAGACCATCAGCTCCCTGGGCTGCTCTGTCCAGCTCTTCACCTTCCTGTCCCTGGGGACCACTGAGTGCGTCCTCCTGACAGTGATGGCCTTGGACCGCTACGTGGCGGTCTGTCAACCCCTCCACTATGCCACTGTCGTCCACCCCCGCCTGTGCTGGAAAATGGCAGCTGTGGCCTGGGTTATGGGTCTCATCCAATCTATAGTCCAGACACCGCCCACCCTCCACCTACCCTTCTGTCCCCACAGGCAGATAGATGACTTCTTATGTGAAGTCCCATCCCTAATTCGACTGTCCTGTGGGGACACCACCTACAATGAAATTCAGTTAGCTGTGTCCAGTGTCATCTTTGTGGTTGTTCCTCTCAGCCTCATTCTCATCTCTTATGGTGCCATTGCCCGGGCAGTGCTGAAGATTCACTCTGCTGAAGCATGGAGAAAGGCTTTAGCAACGTGCTCCTCGCATCTCACTGTGGTCACCCTCTTCTACAGCTCAGTCATTGCCGTCTACCTCCAGCCCAGAAACCCCTACGCCCAAGAGAGGGGCAAGTTCTTTGGTCTCTCCTATGCAGTGGGCACTCCTGTTCTTAACCCTCTCATATACACCTTGAGAAACAAGGAGGTAAAGAGGGCACTGAGGAGGATGCTGGGGAAGGATTGGGAGTCCAGGCAGAGCTGAAGGGGAGCTGCTTGTTGTACTTTGTATGTTTTTCCAGTTCCTAAACTCCTTTATTCAATTGTTTTTCCTGTTGAGACAAATATAAAAAAAAAAAAAGACTATCACTTTTGCTTGGGCAATCATGATGCTTTTCACTGCAGTCCTCTATAATACTCACAGAATTCATGGTCCTAATGTATCCCCACCCTCCATTTTTCCCAGGACAGAAGGCAGCTACTACAGTAAACTTCTAAGTGATTAGAGTTTCTGGAAACATGTACTGTTTGTTATTATTTAAGAGTGACTCAATTTGGTCATTCTGGGTAGATGGCCGATATGTTTTCTTGTGATGCATAGCACAGTCTTCAGCATGAAAACTCATAGGGCTTGAGCAACCACACTTCCCCATATTTTGGAAGACAAGACACCATCAAATATTGAAGAGTCCAGTCCCAATTATAGTCATTGTAAGTACATAAGTGTCTGTGCACTCAGTCAGCTTCTGATATGTATCTCAGGTCAAGGCTAAGCCTGGTAGGGCAAGAGAGACTCCATTTTCTTTTTTTAACTCCATATTAAGAGAAGTCACTTAAGTTCACTTAAGCTGTAGATGACCCCTCTCTTTACCCCAGTCCCCTTGGTTAGTTATCAAGCCACTTAAAGGAGAGCAGAATCATAAAATGGGAACAGAACAAACAGGACTGATTGGGAAGTGGGCTGAAAGCTGAACTGCAATGGTCATCTGGAATTCGGTTGCCCAAAAGCTTCCAGGAAAAGCAAATTTTGTGATAATTGCGTGACATTCTTGTGAGACTCCCAAAGATGAAGTAATGATTACCATGGAAACCTAAAATGTACTTAAACTGAAGGTGAGGCCCAGAGAGGGGCAGACATTTTCCCTGGCTCCTGATTAGAGCCTGTCCATCAGCTGGCTTAATAAAGCTTTGTTCATTTCTGCTCTTTTGGTCTCTTCTGAATGCTGTTCTCAGTGAACTCACTTGCCATATCAAGCCGATTGTGCTGTGTGGATTTCCAAGATTTTACATCGCCTTGTCAGTGATGCCAGTGAAATGATTGGCAGTACAGGTCCCCAGTGAGAAAACATTTTACTCTGGACACTTGGAGCTTCCAATTTCTACATCTTTTTGAAGACATGGTAAAGTCTGGGACTATGTAGTGATTCTCTTCTACAAAAAGTTTAAGGCCAGCATAATCTCAAAGACCTCTGACCCTTTCCCATACAAAATGCAGCTTCCAGAACCAGTGATGTTTGGTTTGGGAAAAATCGGCCTCTCTGTAATAGCAGGAAGAGTCAGGATATTCAGTGCTGATACACCCAGTGCCAAAGCTGCATTCCACTCATGTCTCTGGGACAATCTCTGGGGTCACTGCCTGCAAACTCATTGGGGTACAACTGAATGCTGGAAGAACACTTGCAGAACTGGACAGAAGTCCACTCCACAGATCAGCTGTGGATCTCTGTAGACCCAAGGCTAAAGAGGATGAGGCTGTTGTTGATTCCCCAGGCTCGTCAAAGTGAGTCCAGCAGCATCTGAAGTGTTCACGTTGGTTATGCACCTGGACCACCAGCACCAGCTCCCAGGGAGGCTTAGGCGCTGGCCTTGTCTACCTTCCTCAGCATCTGGTGAAGGTCCAACCAGTACACTAGGGACCAGTTGCACAGAACCAGGGAAGTCGCCTTGGTATGCAGTGTCCAGCAGCAGCAGGACAGGGCCTTGTTCTTCCTCTGCCGCTTTGAACCCTCATCCTGACTCAGGGGCCACTGGCCAAGACCAGCGATGGCAGCCACCACTGCGACAACCTGTAACTCTGTACTAGGAATTTTTTCATGATGTGTGCAAGAGTGGAGTCTCCAGGCCACACATCTGAGCCCCTGCAGTGGGTCAGTGTGACTTCATGCTATCAGAGCGGGTGATATGGAAAACAGGAAAGGAGGAGGGAGGGGAGAGGGGAGGGGAGGGAAGTAGGTATTCCAGAAAGTAACTTAAATTCAAACATCACTGTGCCTGTCACTTCTCAGTATTTCCTCTTTTCATTCATGTTTTTGTTGTCTTTGCTTCCATAGATTATTTCCTCACTCTATCACACCCCTTTCTGGCTATACCATCTGTTCTCAATTGTCATGTTGGTGTAGGGAATCCACTCCACTGTGGTGTTCTGGAGATCATGTGCCTATCTACGTGGGCCATGCAAGCAACCTCTTCAGCTCAGCTGAGACTTGGAAAGATGCTCTGATCCTCCTGGAATATGAGCAGACTTTTAGGCCATCTCGCACTCTTCTCCTCATGTTCCCTGGGAAGCTACCATGAGACAGTTCCTCAAGCGTCCCAGGTTCTGATGGAGCATAAGGGTTTCTGCCTCACATCTTTTAGGATACAGCTGCAAATATAGACTCAACTGAGGTCTGGTCTTGGCTCTACACCGATGGGGTATTCCACAATGGTACCGCAGTTATCCGGCCCTTTTTGTACCCATGTCATCTTTTGGGTTAGGGCTCAGAGTCGGTAACTCTGACTTTTTCTTCATGCATATAAATAATAAACTAAGTGTTTTTACTGACTAAATCAGTCAGGCCTTAGCTTTGCCTTGCTTTTCACAAGTGTGCTGCCATCAACATCACTTTGTCTTTGTTTCCGATTCCTGTTATGTTGTCTTAGTCCATCTGGGCTGCTATAACAAATACCACAAACTATTGTACAACAGAAATTTATTTCACACAGTTCTAGAGGTTGTGCAGTCCAAGATAAAGGCAGATTCTGTATCTACACAGAGCCCACTTTTTCACTTGTGGGTGGTGAGTTCTTGCTGTGTTTTCATGTGATGAAAGGAGCTAGCTATGCCAGGTGTGGTGGTACACACTTGTAATCCCAGCACTTGGAAGGCAGAGGCAGGAGGATTACCGAGACGTTGAGGCCAGCCTCTGCAACACAGTGAGTTCAAAACCAGCCTGAACTATATAGTAAGACACCGTATCAAAAAAAAAAAAAAAAGAAAGAAAGAAAGAAAATAAAGTTAAACTGGGCATGGTGGTGCACGTTTATAATCCCAGCACTTGGCAGGCTGAGGCAGGCAGATCATCAGAAGTTCGAGACCAGCCTGAGCTACAAAGTGAGCTCAAGGCCAGTCTGAAATGCATAGCGAGACCCTGTCTCAAAAAAGATTAAAAAAAAAAAAAAAAAAAAAAAAAAAAAAAAAATTTTTAAAAAGGAGCAAGCTAGCTCTCCGGGATTTCTGTTTTAAGGGCACACATACTATTATGAAAGCTCTTCCCTTACGACCTAATCAGTACCCAAAGACCCCATCTGCAAATACAATCTTTTGGAAGTTACAATTTCAGCATATGAATGTGGAGGAGACAGCATTCAGTTCATCGCACATATCTTGCTTCCTTCTTCCTCAGGGTCCTATTCCTCGCCTGCCCCTTCATTCTTGGTCCTCTCTTGTTTCTCTCTCTTCTTTTCCCCTTCAAGTACGTTTAGAAGGAAGGAGGAGCTGAACCCAGCCAAGTTCATCATCTCATACAAACAATGGATTGTTAAAACCAAAACAGACCCTGTGACTTTCAAACTAGCAATCCAATGTATGCAGTTATTGCAACAACGTAATACCAATAACATTTTCTGAGATTAAAATAAAGATGGAATATTAGAGGGGAAATTTTACTCCATAATATTTTTGTCAATAACGGGCCACATACATGGTGATGGTCCTGTAGATTATATCTCCCGGTGAAGTTCTAACTATCTTAGCTTGCTTAACTCTGTGATGTTCACAGAATGATGAACTTGCCAAATGACACACTTTTCAAAACACATTCTTGGGCTGGGCATGCTAGTGCACACCTTTAATCCCAGCACTCGAGAAGCTGGGGCAGGAGGATGGTCACAAATCTGAGGCCATCTTGGGCTGCATAGGCCAGCCTGAACTACATAATGAGACTCTGCCTCAAAAAAAAAAAAAAAAATCTAAAACAAATCAGAAAATTATAGACAATAGATGTTTGCTGGAGAGAACAATTTTACTCTAAAGGGAAAAAATTTAAAAGAGCAAAGAGGAAAAATTAGAGAACTGAAGAAGCAGAGATCAGAAGCAAGGCTGAAGGACGAAGGAAAATTACCCAAACCCCAGGAAACTGGTGAAGAACATAGAGACAAGGAATGAAGAAATCAAAACAAAACAAAAAAATTAACAATGCTCACACAAACAACAAAAGCAATTTCTAAAAAACAGCTAAATGAATAAAGCAGACCCCTATTTCTCACTATGTCTAAAATAAAATCAAAATGAATCAAAGACCCAGGTATTTAAACAGAAACATTTAATCTGCTGGAAGACAAACTAGGTAGAACTTGCCAGGGGTGGTGGCGCATGTTTTTACTCCCAGCACTCAGGAGGCTGAGGCAAGAGGATCACTGCAAGTCTGAGGCCAGCCTGGGCTACATAGTGAGTTCAAAGCCAGCCTGATGGGAAACCCTGTCTCAAAAAGAAAATAGGTAAAATTCTTGAAGACATAGGCACAATTAAGGATTTTCTAAATAGAACCCCCATTGCACAAGAAATAATATGAAGAATCAACAAATGGGATTATATCAAATGGAAAGGCTTCTCCACAGCAAAGAAAACAAAGAGAAAGAAAAGGTGGTGAGAATGGGAAGCTACTTCTCAGACACAGGACTAATATCTAGAATACACAATTCAACATAAACGGACTCCAAAAATAAAAGACCCACTCAAAAAAATGGACAAGTGAAATGAATAGTACTTCTCAGAAGAAGTACAAATATCCAATAAATATATGAAAAACTGTTCAACACCTCTGGCCTTTAGACAAACGCAAATTATAGTAACATTGAGAATCCATCTGACCACCAAAAGACATTACCATCATTAAGAGATCAAATAATAACAAATGTTGGGGAGGCTGTGATGGAAAAGGAGCCTTCTCCACTGTGGGTGGGAGTGTGAACTAGTACAACCACTGTAGAATCAGTATGCAGATTTCTCACAAAACTCAGATTA